CCGGCCCAGCTTCGACGCCATCCTCTACTACTACCAGTCGGGGGGCCGCCTGCGCAGGCCGGTCAGCGTCGCCATGGACGTGTTTGTGGACGAGATCCGCTTCTACCAGCTGGGCGACGAGGCCCTGGAGCGCTTCCGGGAGGATGAAGGCTGCCTCAAGGAGGAAGAGAAGCCTCTGCCCCGAAACGAGTTCCAGCGCCAGGTGTGGCTGCTCTTCGAGTACCCCGAGAGCTCGGGGCCCGCGCGGGGCATCGCCATCGTGTCCGTGCTGGTCATTCTCATCTCCATCGTCATCTTCTGCCTGGAGACGCTGCCCCAGTTCCGAGCAGAGGGCCGCGGGGGAAGCAGCGAGGGGGTGAGCCGCGTGGCCCCGGCCTCCAGAGGCAGCCAGGAGGAAGAGGAGGACGAGGACGACCCCTATACCTTTCGTCGCGGCCTGGGCCCTGGGGGGGCGGGGACAGGCAGCTCCCCAGCACTCAGTGCCCTCGGGGGCTCCTTCTTCACCGACCCATTCTTCCTGGTGGAGACGCTCTGCATTGTGTGGTTCACGTTTGAGCTCCTGGTGCGCTTCTCCGCCTGCCCCAGCAAGCCAGCCTTCTTCCGCAACATCATGAACATCATCGACTTGGTGGCCATCTTCCCCTACTTCATCACGCTGGGCACTGAGCTGGTGCAGCAGCAGGAGCAGCAGTCAGTGAGTGGAGGGGGAGGCCAGAACGGGCAGCAGGCCATGTCCCTGGCCATCCTCAGGGTCATCCGCCTGGTCCGGGTGTATGCAGCTGTCAGCCAGTTCGCGTTGACCACAGCCCTCTAAAGAGAGCGAAGCAGGTTCGAGGGGCAGAGGCCAGCCTGTCGGCAGGGCAGTCGGAAAGGTGAGGTGGCTTCTCCTCTGCCAGACCCTCACCCGGGCTGGGGAAGAAAGTTATCCTGGCAGAGGTGGATGGAAACCCCACCCAGTCCCTTCCAGAGAGTTAGGCTGCACATCCAGTGGCCCCTAAGAAAAACTTACCTACCCAAATATCTCCAAGTGGGTCTCCATGTCGTGTGGCCCAGGGGTAGAGCTCCTAGCTCTGGTAAAGCTCCTAGCGTGTGGATGGCATACACCGTCCTAGCAGCTCAGGAAATGTGACTGCCACCACCATCACCATCATCACCACCATCACCATCACCACCATCATCGCCATCATCACCACCACCATCACCACCACCATCATGACCATCATCACCACTACCACCACCATCACCAGGACAGGTCTGAGGGCAGAAACCATCTAGTCTGCTGCCTGAGGAAGGCTTCGCCTCTCATCCTCTGAGCTGCAGGGCCCCGCGCAGATGAAGGAGAAGGGGTGCTGTGGAACAGCGACCTGCGCGGGACCCCGCTTCAGTGCCCACCCGGGGGACCGGCAGCTGGCCCCTGAAAATACAGGGACACGCAGGGTTCCCACCGGAAGCCTGGCGGGGGCCTCTCGCGGGGGACCCGCGCAGG